ACCAGGCAGATAGGTGCCCCTCCCCAGCTCTAGCCATACGAGGCCATACGAGTGAGCTGGGAGCTGCTGTAGAAGTGGCTGAGTCGCACCTCTGTCCAGCTGTGTGCACTGGGTGGGAAATTTAGGGTCTGGGTGAGGCGGCTGTCCCAGTGGCAGGGGATGTAAATGATCCCCCAGGGACGTTGTGGCCTCTTCTCTGGGAGCAGAAAGCCAATCTCAAACCTTTCCCCCACTGCCGGTGGCAGCCAACCCCTCACCCCAAGACCCCGATGGCTCCTGGGCCCGGCCCAGCCACCAGCTGAGCACTCCTTGGCCTTGGGCTTCCCATATGTGGCAATCTTTGTCTGTGGGAGGGACGGTTGGAGACAGAGGGAAATGAAGAAAGAAAGCTTTGAGGGAAACCGGGCACTTGGCTCAGTACTGCAAAGCGAGCAAGCCACCCATCCCTCGCCCAGCTCTGACTCTCCCTCCAGCCCTCTGCCTGGGACACCACTGTGATGGATCTAACATCATCCAGCTCAGGGTCACAGCATCAGGCCTCCCCGTGGAGGGGCCCCGGTTTCCAGTCCAGACTCTGGGCTCTGGACCTAGAGGGCTTCAAAGGGAACCTCACCCCCTGCAGGGAGCAGTGAAAACAGCCCAGCAGGGGAAAGGTGAGGGGGCACCGGCTGAACAAACAGCAGCTCCCGTGGGGCCAGAGCCTGGCCTCTCCCCTGTGGCCCCAGCCTGACACCTGGGCTTTCTTCCGCTGGCTGCACTGCACGAGAGGCACATACACAGGGCATGTGTGTGTCAGCATTGTGTGAGCAGGCTGGTGCTGTGTGTGTACGCACACGCACGTGTACCTTGGTACACACCACGAGGCGTGGAGAAGCCATGCTGGGTGTTCCATGGCACCAGCACGGTCTTACCCCATGCTCAGGTTAAGAACATGTGAGGGCAGGGGTCAGTGACCTGCAGCACACAGGTCAAATCCACCCACCATCTGCTATTGTGCAGCTCAGAAAGTAAGAATGGCTTTTACATTTTTTAATGGTTGGCGCGGGGGAAAGAAAATTTTTATGACCTGTGAAAAAGATATGAAATTCAAATTTCTGTGTCCACAACTAGTTTGATTAGAACACAGCCACACTCATTCACTTACATATCATCTATGCTGCTTTTCTGCTCTGATAGAGTTGAATAGTTACAACAGAGACTGTGGGTCCCACAAAGCTTAAAAGACTTATTATCTGACGCGATCAGAAAAAAATCAGCCAGCTTCTGTATTGGGAAACTAGCAAAGCTAGGGTAGTCTCCCCCCAAAATTAAAGTTCAGCTTCAATGAACATATGGAGAATTTTACAATTAGAAAATCTAGACAGAAGCTTGTGTTGATTTCATCACATACACATGAGTTTTGGGTTTTACAGCATTATGTTGGAGTGTGTGTGTGTGTGTGTGTGTGTGTATGAAATATAATATTTTCAAGATTCACGGCCGGGCACGGTGGCTCACACCTGTAATGCCAGCACATTGGGAGGCCGAGGTGGGTGGATCACTTGAGGCCAGGAGTTCAAGACCAGCTTGGCCAACATGGGGAAACCCCATCTCTACTAAAAATACAGAAATTAGCTGGGTGTGGTATGTGGTAGCTTGCCTGTAATGCCAGCTACTTGGGAGGCTGAAGCACGAGAATCACTTGAACCCGGGAGGCAGAGGTTGCAGTAAGCCGAGTGCTCTAGCCTGGGTGACAGAGTGAAATACTGTCTCAAAAAAAGAAAAAAAAAAAAAGATGTAAGATCTCTTGCTGGTCTCTCATACACACAGTGGTGAACCCGTGCTACGTGCACAGTAGATAATTCGTTGATGTTTGTGGGATAAAGTCAGCCAGATTCTCTCTGTCAATCTGAGAACGCTGCTGGAGAAGTGATGCTCTCACCCATTTCATGGATGTGGAAACAGATCTGGAGAGGCCTGAGGTCACACCACTGGCACTCGGGTTTGCTCCCTGCCGGTTGAGGCTGTTTCCCAGTCCGTTACCAATGAGGACAAGACGTCCTTTCTTGAGATTGTTTTGCTCCTGGGTAAAGCGGGGGAAAAACCCTCACATGTCTGGTGAGGAAGCCTCTTGCCCTACTCTCCAGCAGATTCCTAGGCAGCCGAGGTCTCCTGCCAATCGCGATAGGTTTCCAGGCCTTCCTCCCTCTCTGGTTGGGGTGGGAGGGGTTCCTGGCAGGCTCCCAGGAGTCCATTTAGGAATGAGTGTTTTTTTTTCCCTTTTCCGGCAAACAGGGGGCAGGTGTGGAGTGAACAGCTCTGGGGAGGGGGTGAGGGGAAGTGACCGGAGCTGAACTTCTGGGGGATCCAGTGAGGCTGAACCATAAAAGGGGTACTATTGAGAGAATGAGGCCTGATGAAAGGGGAGTGTGCAAGTCTGGGTACTCGGGAACATAAGGGAATGCTAGGAATAGAAATGGGGGTCCCCCCAAAGATAAGAGGATCAAAGGTAAAGTTGCCAACGTGGCAGCCCTGTGGGGAGTCTGTCCCTGCTTCTAAGGACCCCGGCGCCCATCCCCCACCCAGCTAGGTCCTGGAGGATCGCTACACCCAGCATTAGCTCTGAACCTGCAGAACAGCAGACCTCCTAGCAAGCAGTGATGTCCACCCACTTCTGCCCTCACAGCCCTGCCCTCTACCCCTAGGAGAAAAGAGAACGGGGCGGGCAAGGTGCAACACTTCCCATTCCTCCGTCAGGTCCTTGGTGCCTCTCTGGAAGAATGCGCACATGGAGCTAATGATGACTTCGACTCTCTGGATCAAATTCAAAGTTCTTTGCATGGCTGTCCAGGCCTGTACATCTGGCCCTTGCTCAGCTGCGTCTTGCTCCATCTTCCCCTTGGTGGGAGATGCATCCCAAACAGAACGGACTTAAATGTCCTCTGCTCCTTCCCACCCCAGGGCCTTCGCACTGGCTGTGCCCTCTGCCAGGGACACTGGCGCCCTCACTCATTCTTCAGATCTCTGTTCAAACATCACTTTCTCAGGCTAGCCTTCCCTGAGTACCTCTGGGCCGGGTTTAGTTCATGCTTTCAGATCTGCCACTGATTGTCTCTGCGGTGGTATGTTTGCTTGCTTCCTGACCACACCGGGACCTTTGGCGTAGGTCCTCCAGCAGAAAACCTCGACTGATGACTCTGTCTTGCTCCCTGCTGTACTCCAGTGCTTCGCACAGAAATGGACACACAGCAGAGATCAATAAATAATCATATGATGGAATGCACAAACAATTGGCACCACCAGTGATGGTGGTCAATGCCTGGAGTTACGGAAACATAGATGTACTAATCTGTACCATCCATAAGCCATTTGTTATGAATTCACCTGTGTTTCTAGACATGGTAAGCACCCTGTGGGTACCAAGCAATGTTCTAGGCTATTGGAACGTCCATTCATTGCAGAAACTTCTATTGGACTGTGCTAGTTAGAAAGGCTGGCCTTCTTTCTAACTAGCATGGTCTAATAGAAGTGTCTGCAATAACGCAATGTTCTGGATCTACACTGGCCCACAAGGTACCACGAGACTCATGTGGCTACAAGCACTTGAAGTGTGGCTAGTGAGACTGAGGAACTGAATTTTACATTTTACTTAGTTTTAATTAATGTAAATTTAAGTAGCCACATGTGGTTGGTGGCTACCGTATTGGTTGGCACAGCTCTAGAGAGGAGAGCACCCTACTAGCCTGGGGTTATTACGTGTGGTTCTGACATCCAGGAATTCGTAGGGACTTCCCCAAACCCCATCAGCTGGTCCTTGGGGGGTCAAACGTGCCAAGGATTTCTAGGCTGCTTCTACACTGCAGGATCCCACCACTCCCCACTGCCGACGAAGCTTGTCACAGGTACCACCGGGCAATGACTCAGGGAGATCTCCCAAACAATGACAAATCTCCAGAACAAAAGAGAGTAGGCCTGAGAGTGGGACTTCATTGTTTTTATCACCATCATCACCTATCACATTACCACCAACACAACCATCAACATCACCATCATTACAACCACAACAGGATCACCAATACCACGAAGTAACATCCACACACAGGGCTACCAGCCACACCACATGGCCACGAAGACTGCCACCAACATCATTTTCTCCATCATCACCACCCCATCACACCACTTCCAGCACCACCACCAACACAACTGTCAATGTCACCAACACCAATGAATTCCAGGGTTAACGCTAGCACTGACATCACCAACACTGCCACGTCACCATCATCCATCCCTCCATTATCACCAAGACCCCACCACCATCAATACTATCACTGAGTCACCACCAACACAACTGCTAACACTGTCTCCTCCATCATTGCCACCCCCCCACCATCAACACCACCAACGCCCCCCATCCCCAATTAATTACCACCAGCAGGACTCCACCCCCCAAACCAACACTTGGAGCCAGTACAGGATACCAGTTAAGAGTTTTGGCTCTGGAATTCAACCACCTGGGTTTAAATGCCAGCTCTGAGTTTAAATCATTCAGCTTCTGGGAGACTCAGTTTCTTCATCTATAAAATGGGACTCATAATAATACAACAATAAACAGACTTACTGCCTGTGATTCTTGGAAAAAATCAAATGAGGAAGTGCATGTGAAGCCCTTATTCTACAATCACATGCTACTGCTATTCTAGATTCTGTGCTCAGTGAGCACCATTTTATTTAATCCTCACTCAGCTGTGAGAGATATTGATCTACCCATTATGCAGATGAGGAAACTGAGGCTCAGAGAGAGGAAGCAACTTGCCCAAGGCCCTACAACTTGCTCAGAGGCTGTACTGGAATCCAAGTCTTAAACTGGACAAGGTTAGACTGCCCTGTTTTTCTGGAGGTGACGCAGGGAGATAGGGAAGGGATTTGGGATCAGATTTACTGGGATTTTCTGCAGCCCACGCTGCAAGGTAGTGGTGGTTCAGCAGGGCGGGTGGCATGGGGTGGGTGGGGAGTCTGCTCACCTGTGTCCTGGCGAAACTGGTGCATGGACTGCAGGTCGATGATGTAGGGCACAAGCTGGGCGTCCACCTGCCCCAGGACCACGGAGCCGCGAGCGTCCTCCTTCAGCACGTTCTCAATGTGGTGGCACACGGTGGCCGTATAGGGCCGCCAGCGACTGTGCTCATTCAGCCACTCCCACACCACCACCCGGGCCACGTTCTGCGGTGGGAAGCCCAGACCATTCACAGGCATCAGCCCACCGTGGCCTGGCCGTGACATGGCCGCCACTGCCTCAGGGGCCAGGTCCCCCACTATTGCAGGCCCAGCTACTCCTGGGCCTGGCAGCAGGCGGCAACTTCCTCTCTCCCCAGGGGGACAGCAAGGACCGTCTGGCCTCCTTTCTAACTCTGGGTTCTCTCTGAGGCCTAGAGGCCTCCGTTAAAGGAATGTGGGGTGGCCATCCAGGCTGCAAAGACCTCTTCCCTGCAGAGCCTTCTCGGATAAAGGGTGCTGCCCTGGAAAGCAAGTGTCTCTCTTATGCCGGACGAAACAGCTCTAAAGTCCTTGGCCCCCTCGGCTGGCTCAGGTAGGGAGTGAGGCAGCCGCCCCCGTTCTAGGTCCAGCCTCTTCAGTGTTGTCTCTGGTCCCTCTTCCCCGCCAGACAGGGCCTGTCACCCAGGAGGCCTGGGCCACAGCCTGCTGCTCCTGCGGCTCTCAGTCAGCCCTCTGCACTCCCAACTGCGTCCCAGACCCTGCGCCTGGCTTCAGTGGGGCTTCTTGCCTCCCTCCAGTCCGGGCCCCCTTCTCCGACGGCTCCTGCTGAAGGGGGCGTCCCTGCCCCCTTGTTCCCTCTCCACGGTGTCCTGGAAGGCCTGGGTGGCTGCAGAACACACGGGGAAGGGGTGCGGCGCGGACCCCCGGGGCGTGCGCCTGGACTGCGGCTCCGGAGCTGGGCTGGGGGACGAGGGGGACGAGGGGGGCGGGGGCCCGTGGGCACGCCCCACCCCACTCGTGCTCGCGACCTGCCAGGAGACAAGAGGGGAGAGGGCCCTTTAAGAGGAGAGCGCAGCACCCCCTCCCCCATTCCCAGGAGATCATTCGGCTGAGAACAATGGGGGACCGAAGGGGGACAGCAAGGGGGGCGTACGGGGTCGCCCCGCCCGCTTTCCCTTGGGGCAGGCCTGGAGGGAGGGCTGGGGCCGGGGGCGCGGTTTTCAGAGACTCTCCGCCTGGGGGGTGCCCTCCTTCGCTCCCAGAGCCTTCCCTTCCCCTGGGGCCCTCACCCTGCCGGGGGGTATGCCGGGTGCGCGGGGATGCTTCGGGAAGCTAGGGGATGAACGGAGCTGCAGGCGCGGCCCAGGGCCCCTCGGGGGTCGCGTCGCGGAGGGGTCGAATCCAGGAGCTGGACCGTCTCTGCCTCCCGCCCTGGGGATAACAGCCCCCCTTCCCCAGCTCAGACGTCGCCGAGCCGCTCGCGGGCCCCCAGCTGGAGCCGGGGGTGGGGTCCCTAAGCACCCGCGCTCTCACCGCCTCTCTTCGTCTCCGGCTCCGGCTCCGGCTCGCGCGGCCCAGGGCCCCTCGGGGGTCGCGTCGCGGAGGGGTCGAATCCAGGAGCTGGACCGTCTCTGCCTCCCGCCCTGGGGATAACAGCCCCCCTTCCCCAGCTCAGACGTCGCCGAGCCGCTCGCGGGCCCCCAGCTGGAGCCGGGGGTGGGGTCCCTAAGCACCCGCGCTCTCACCGCCTCTCTTCGTCTCCGGCTCCGGCTCCGGCTCGCGCTCCAGCACCGCCGCCTTCTGGGCTCCCCCCGGAGTGGGAGGGAGCCGCGGTCCTGCCTCCGCGCCCGTTCCCTCCCAGGCCCCTCGGCCGCCGCGCCGAGCTTTCCGCGCGTGGACAGATTGCTCGGCCGACGGACGGACGCAGGAGCTGGCTGGTGGCCGCCGGGATCCCGCGGGTGGGAGGCGGCCTCGGCAGTGCTCGGGAAGGGAGAGGGGAGGGGGCGGAGGAGGAGGAAGGGGAGGAGACAGATCGCGGCCCTGAGCGCCATCGGCGCTGACACGCGAGTCTCAGGGCGCCCCAAATCCTCGGCCAGGCCTTCCCGAGAACCCAAGGGGCCTTCTGACCCCAAGCAGGGCTTGAGGCAGGGAGTGGGGTGTTTAGGAGTCGCTGGCTTGAATCTTTGTCATCTTTATTTCCAGTCTCCCAGTCTAGGGCCTGGCACTGAGTAGGTGCTCAATAAATGCTTGAATGAATGAATAAGATCCAGAGACTGTCTAAAGAAAGATCTTGAAGCATTCAGAGCTAGCCTCCTTTCCTCCTCTAACTATTCCTGGGGGCGGGAGGGTGCTGACAAGGCCTGATTCAGACTCAGATGGAACCGTGGAATCTGAAGAGTACAGATGAGGAGACTGAAGCCAGAGAGAGTAAGACCCAGGCCCAGGATCACAGAAGCTTAGAGCGGTGCCCAGACACCAACCCCGGTCTGAATCTCCTGCCAGTACCCAGTTCCCAGCCCTAAGCCCACTTCCCCCAAAGCACCCACCTGCTCCAGGTGAGAGGGGGTGGGACCAGGGGAGGGGACCCTGGCCAGGAGGTGAGAACCTGGAGGAAGAGAAGGGCAGGCCCTCTGCCATGTCATTCACAGCCACCTGCAAACAACTAGTGCTCAATAAATGGTGGGTGAGCATTGGTTGGATGGAAGGGAAGACTGGAAATGGCAGCGACTCAAGTGTTAATGGGATGGCCAGTTCCTCTCTCCTCCAGCAAGCTGGATGCAGCTGAGACACACGTCGGCTGGGAGGGGGGTGGACCACCCGGGGCCTTTGGGTGTTTAGATTGGGGAAGATGAAGGATGCGTCCGGGAACTCTAGCCTGGGTGGCTGACGGAGGTCAGTGACCTGTTTGGGCGCCTGCCCAGAGCAGCCCACGCCTGCCTCCCCAGGGCAGATGGGGATACACTAGGCAGGGGCAGGGGCAGGCTGCTCAGGGGTGCTTTCCCAGAACCCAGCTCTGGCTCTCCGGCCTGCTGGAGGGACCTCCCCTCCCCAGGCCCCTGCTCTGACCAGCAGCCCAGTGTTGGATGGGCTTTTTCATATTGGGTCAATGTTTCTGCTTTCTTTCTCCTGCTGCAGACTACAGAGAGAGGCTCTGCATACGGCAGGGCCAAGTCTGCAGTATGACAGTACTGACAATACTCCCACAGGATCACTGAGTTCTGGGATTTTAGCCTAGGGTCCATGGATGGCCTTCTGGGGTCCGTGAAGTCCCCCTCTCCCATTACAGGCAAACTTGTGTGTCTAGGCGTTGTGTGTCTTGTGTGTCTGGGAAGAAAGGCACTGGCTGTCAGCAGATTCTTCTCCCAGGAGACTATGACTGAACAGGTTCAGAGCAGATGCTCAACCACCTTATGTTATAGAAGGATCTGGGGACCCCACAGTGGAGAAGAGATTGACTCAAGGTCGCATGGTGATTTAGCAGCAAATTGGAAAAAAGAACACAAGTCTCTGGACTTCCTGTCAAATGCTATTTAAGGTCTGATTAAATGTCACCTCCTCCAGGAAGTCTTTCTTGAATTCATCCCATCTTCCTCTGTGTTCCTTTGCCCATAACTTGACATGACACCCTGTATCACAATTAGCCTCTTAAATGAAATCTGTCCCTGCTAGAGTGAGATAGCCATCATATTCATCTTGGTGTGGTATGGCTGGTGCCCATTACATAAGGGTGTCATTTACTGAGTGCCTATTATGTGCCAGGCACTTATGTAATACTTACTACTCTTCACAACTGCCCCACAAGGAAGGTAATATTGTCCTCATTTTACACATGGAAACAGAAAACCTCCTGAAGCTCAGAGAGGCTAAGTAGCTTACCCAAGCTCCCACAGGGAGTAAGTGGCAGAGCTAGGATCTGTGTCCCAAATGCTTTTGCACCTCCCATAGCACCATGCTACCTCTGTGTTTGTTGAGTGACTAATGGATGGCATCCAGCTGAGGATCTGGTGCAGTGTGGCCCTTAATGGCCCCTCTCAACTGGGTTTGGAACATCTGGGAATGCAAAACTGCTCCCAGGGAACTTGGGGAGAAAAGATTTCCAAGGAGAGGGAAGGAATTTGGCCACCAAGGAGCCCACAATTCACTGGAGGGATGGCTCAGATGCCAATGAGGAAGTCAATAGGACAAAAGCAATCAATCATGAACTTTTTTTTTTTTTTTGGTCCATTGAGGCATTTTTATATAAATTTATTACATCCCTAGAAAAACAATCCCAGGATTTTCCCCCTTATGTGTTTTTGTCTTGCTTCCTTATGGTCCCTGATACCAGCTGAGGTTGTCAGGACAATGAAACCAAAGGAGATAGGGGTACCATTTTTCTAGATCTTTGAGTTGCAAATCAACCTGGGGTTTGTCACTGTACACTTGTTTAACCTGCCTGTGAGGTCCACAGTGATTTTTCTAGCTCTGTGATTATTGATGATTTCAAAGTCACTGATATAAACTAAGTTGCATTATCACACTTAGAAACTAGATGACAATTTTGGAACATAACCTAAAACTACCTGGTGTTTGCTTCTCTTCTCAGCATGTTGATGCTATTGAGAGCATTGGCCAGGACATTCACATGCACCATTATAGCAGCTCAGAAAGATGGCAGAAAGAGACAAACTCATTTTTTTTTTTGTTCTGCCATCCACCATCCACTCATCCATCCACCCATCTATCCATTCATCTATCCACCCATCCTCCATCCATCCACCCACCCACCCATCTATCCAGTCATTCATCCATCCACCCACTCATGCATCATCCATTCATCCATACACCCACCCAGCCATCATCTATCCATCCATCCATCCATCCATCCATCCATCCATCCATCCATCCATCCATTTATTCATCCATTCATCTATACATTCATGTATGAAACTTCCCACCTTCCTTCCTTCCCCTCCTCTGTCTCTCCCTTCCTTCCTTTCTTCCTCTTTTTGTTTATTTATTTTTTTAAGATAGAGTCTTGCTCTGTCACCAGGCTGGAGTGCAGTGGCGCAATCTCAGCTCACTGCAACCTCTGACTCCCTGGTTCAAGGGATTCTCCTGCCTCAGCCTCCCAAGTAGCTGCAATTAGAGGCACGTGCCACCACGCCCAGCTAATTTTTGTATTTTCAGTAGAGACAGGGTTTCACCACGTTGGCCAGGATGGTCTCGATCTCCTGACCTCATGATCCGCCTACCTCGACCTCCCGAAGTGCTGTGATTACAGGTGTGAGTCACTGCACCCGGCCGCTTCCTTCCTCTTATCCACTTATTCATTCATCCATCCATCCATCCATCCATCCATCCATCCATCCATCCATCCAAAAACTAGCAGATGCCCTCCTATGTGCCAGGCACTGGGCTATGAACTGAGATACAGATATAACCCAAGCAGCATGGCCTCTGCCATCCTGGGTCTCAGAATCTAGTGAGAAAGTCAGACATGAATCAAAGAATCACACAAAGTGTAATTCCAAACTTTTGCTAAGACTATGAAGGAAAAGTTCAGGATATCATGAGGACATCTAACAGGGGTCCTATCAGGTCTAAGGAATCAGGGAGGGCTTCTCAGAGGAGTTGATGTTTCAGCTACTCCCTGAAGGATTCACAGGTCTTAATGTGGCTGAGTGGGGTAGGAGGGGGAATGATTAAATCAGAGGAAACAGGAATGTGCAAAGGCCCAGAGGTGGGAAAGAGCTTGGTGTGTTAGAGCAACAGAAAGGAGACCAAGTAACCACTGAGAAAGAAGAGGGGTGAGCCTGGGGCCAGATGAGGCTGGGCTACCATACAGGGCCTTGGAAGACCCAGTATGGATTTGTGATTTTATCCTAAGAGTCATGGGGAGTTACTAAAAATTTGATGTGATTTGATTTGTGTTGGTTTGTGTTGGAAAGAGCCTGGAATTAACTAGACTGTATTGAGTATCTACTGTATGTCCAGCCCTGGTCTAGGTACAGGAGAGTCTGGAAGGGGACACAAAACAAAATGAGTGACACTGAAGGTGGTATTAGGGGCATGTGCAATTAGGGTATGAGCCCTGGGAGACACATGCCACCCCTGTCCCCAGCCTGTGGAGCCGAGTAAGTTAGGCTCTTTTGAGCCCTTCTCGCCAGCCCTCTACATCCTTCTGTGCAGACCAGCTGTGACCTCCCCTTCAGCAGCTGAGAAAAAGTTTAAGTGGAAAACAGGAAACAGAGTGAGAAGGACTGTTTAGGTGTCTCTGGGGACTGAAATGGGGCCCCTGGAAGTCAGAGTGTTCCTTGGGCCTGCAGGACCCTGGTGGGGTGGGAGTGGTGAAAGGTCTTTTGCTGCCTGCTGAGAATGGGTGGTGGAATTGGAGAAGCCTCAGAAGGGTGGTATCCACAGCCAGCCTTCCTCAGCGAGGACGGTCTGCGGGCGTGAGGTTAGGCTGGGCACTGCTCTCGTGGCCGCGTGTCCAGGTCATGGCTCCTGGGAGCAGTGTCTCCCCATCACCAGCCAGAGGCTGGTTCCAGGTGAGCACAGATTCTTTCCGGGGTCTTGCTCTGAAATTCACATACAGCCGGAGTTGAAAGCAGCTTGAGCATCTATGGGCGAGATGGTGAGATGAACGCCCTCCCCACCCCAGAGCGCTGGGTCCCACGCTGGATTCACGTGAGAATCTCCTGCAGAGGGCATACAAATCACTCACGTTCAAGCCCCACCCTCAGAAACATGTAGTTGGCTGGGGGGTCCAGGTATTTGTAGGCTTTGGCCAATGGTTCTTTCCCTGGATTTAAGGGATTAAAACTGAGAGATGGTTGTCAGCCTGTCTCTAGGTAGCTGGGCTAATCATATGCGATACTGTGAGCTTTTAGGGCCCATTTAGAACCATCCGTTTACTCATCTAATCAGATGCTGTTTGCTGAGCACCTACTATGTGCCAGATACCATTCTAGGCACTGAAGATACAGTGACAAATAAAAG